CTCTCTCGGAGAGCCGCGCAGCGGGCTGTGAGGTTGAGTTCAAAGAGCCGCAGGGTGTCGAGGTCAAATTTTGAACTTGCCCGAGACGGCCCGGAGACGGTCCCGCGTTGTTGCCCCGGTTCTGGCGTATCACACCTCGGCCGCGATGGGCCGGTTCCGCCGCGCAGTCGAGCAGCAGGATCTCTGGCACAAGTTTGTCGACAAACTGGTCGAGCAAAATTTCGGCGAAGAAGCGGCACCGGCGGTACGCCGGGACAAACCCGGACCGGACACATTGTGTAGAACCGCGGCGGCTCGCCGCCGCGGGCCCACAGGAGGGCTGGGCGACGCGGCACTGGACCGCGCCGCCAGCGGGGCGAGAGCCGCAGCCGACAACCAGCCGACATGGCAGTTGTGGTGGCGGGACCTCCAAAATCAAAGGTTGTGGCAACCGTTGCACATCGCTGTACGAGTACTCGAGCGTACCGTGGGGCTCCTGTCGTTAGACGTGGAGACGCGAGGGTTGCCCCCCCTTGCCCCACCACCTCGTGTGTGTTAGGTATATTGTTGGCAAATCAAGACACAGAGCTCACACAGAATCACAGCGGGAGGAAAGCGGCGAGTCGCAATTCCTGGGGTTCTTGTCAGGTGGTGTGGAGAAGTTTACCTTACCTTACCTCACCTTACCTTACCGAGCCATTGCTTGCCACGTGAAGGGCACCGTGGTCCACTCAGTGGGGAGCCACGCGTAGTGCCATCGGTGCACGTCGCGTAAGGGCCCAGCACATGCTTTATCCGACCGGCTTGAAGCCTGTTCCATCCAGTGCTCAAGTGCTCAAGTGATCACCCGAATACCACGTTCGGATCGCTCCTCATCGCAAACCCTGTCAGCAGTTCACCTTCGGGTTCGTTTTAGAGCTACACACCCGAAAAAGAATTCTTAAAACTCACAGAAAAAGAAATACAGCGGGAGAAGCATGTCGGCTCCTTCTCGGATGGAGGATGCTGAGGAGCAGCACGCCCGCCGGGCGTCGGATGGTGAGGCGCACCAAGGATCCACCGATGCTGAGCACCACGCCCGCCCGCTCGAGGTGCAAGAGGTTGTCGAGAAGCTCAACACGGTCCCCGCCTTCAAGGTTGTGGACGACGAGACCGGAGACATCGTGCCCACACCGGGCAAGGGCGGCGAGGCCTGCTTGTGCTGGTACGCCGACCCTCACGACGCCCGCGTCGCGCTGGCAATCGTGGCGGCGAGGGAGCCGGGCCGCCAGCTCAGCCTCGGGACGACGCCGCTCGGCACCGCGCTCGCGATGAGCGAGGGCTGGGGCACCGGGCTGCCTTCGATGCCGCTCCGGCTGCAGGCCTCGAGCGCGGTGCTGCGCTCCGTGCGGGACGTGCTCAGCCCGCTGCCGGAGCGGGCGGCCGCGGCGCTCAACGCTCGCACGAGCGCTTTCCCCGTCTTTTTGATGGAGGAGCTCCAGTCGCCTTCCGTCGCGCCCGTCTTTTTCCGGCGCGAGGACCTCGCCTCGTGCTGGCGCATCTCCGGCCGCGCACCCGAGGCGCTGCCCGACTCGCTCACGCTCTACGACCTGCGCGTGCTTGTGCTGAAGATGATGAGCACCGGCGCGGACTGGCGCAGCCTCATGTTTGTCGCGCCGGGGTCGTCGCTGCAGCAGATCGACGCCGCCTCGCAGCACGGCGCGGTCCGCGACCTGGAGCGGCAAGCCGCCGTGGCGAGGGGAGACGAGCCGCCGCCGCTCGAGGAGGCCGCCGCCATCGCCTAGCAGCTCCGGGGAGCGAGGTGGAGTCTGGGCCGGGACCCGTGCATTGCTGCTCCTCTCTCTGTGTTGGATTGCATGCTCCGGCCGGTGGCCATGACCCATGATTAATGACTAGATGACACGTCGCGCCATGCGCACAGTCGGCTAGCCAGTCCAGTGCGTACGAGTAAACCATATGGTGCCGTACTCGGACTGGGAGAATGGTGTCGGCGTGTCGCGGTCCTCGTCTCTGCACTCTGGCGACTCTGTGACGTGTGAGTCTGTGTGCCACACTCACGCGCCCCCGCTAGGGGGCCCACAGCGCGCCAAAATCCACTAGGGTGGGATTTCGCGCAATCGCTTGACTCTGAAAAGCTCGCATATACCTCCTGCGAGCGCTGTGGTCGCCGCAGACTGGCTCCGACTTTTGACGGCGGCATGGACGCATGGAGACGTGATGCCTCCATCATGCGCCCGTCGAGTCGAAATCGACATGCGAGTCGATCTTTGGCCCGCCAGAGGTACATTAGGCGTTTTGGGCGACAACAGCGCTGCGACCGCGAAGTGGCGGTGGACATGCTCCCCCATGTTGCCGACGCGGCGCCGGAGTGGCCGGCGCTGCTCTCGAGCCGCGACCACGAGCACGACGGAGCTACTCCGATGCTCCGGGCCGACCCGTCCTACCCGACGGCGGCACTCTTCCACGTCTCGCTCACGCTGAGAAAAATTCTGAAACGGCGTGCAGCAGAGTCACCGACGAGTCGGTCCGCGTGACTCCTTGTGTCCAACCCCTGGTCAACTCACCCTCCACACCCCCCGTAACATAAAGTCATCTAGACCGGACGCGGAACCATCCACATCATCACTGGCTCGCGGCAGTAAGGACAAATTCGCATCAGCTCAGAGCATGGCCCGCAAGCACACAAGTGCCCGCACGGAACCGCCGCATGCGACTTGACTCTCGCGAAACACACGATGCACGTGGTCTCTCCCCCCATCGTGGACTCGGGGGCAGCCGGCCGCCCCGTGTCGAGGCAGGCGTCGGCTAGTGAGACGGCAGCAATCGGCTCGGTGACTGGCAGATGCTGCTCCGCCGCCTCTCCCGCCTCTGGCCCGATCAAGCGCTCGATGGCGCCGACCCGCTCCTCGAGGCTGCCCTCGGTCGCCGCGCCAAGGCTCGCCTCCAGCCGCTCGACACGCCGCACCAAGTCCCCGCCGCCGCCGGTCGACTCGCTGCTCACCGCCTCCTCGCACCGCGACACCCGACGCGCCAGCGCCTCCTCCGCATCCACCTCTGACCGGCGCAGCGCCTCTGCCAGCTCCGCATCCTCGCGCAGCGCCGCCCGCTCTGCCGCACCCGCTAGCTCTGCCGCCTCCCGCTCCGCCCGCCTCGCCGCCTCCTGCTCAGCAGCCAGCTGCGCCGCCTTCTCCTCCTGTGCGCGAACCTCTGCCGCAGCCTTCGCCCTCCGCTCCTCCTCGAGCGCGAAAGCAGACGGCGCCTTCTTGGCCTTATTGTTCTTCGCCTTGGCCTCCTTCTTGGCCGCCGTTGCCTCCGCCGCCTTTGCGCGCCGCCTCGCCTTCTCCTCCTCCGCCCTCCTGTCCGCAGCCTCCTTCTCGCGCCGTGCCGCCTCTGCCTGAGCGGCTTTGCGCGCCGCCGCGGCCGCCCGCTGCTCCTCTCGCTGCGCCTCATCCGCCGCAAGCCTCTCCGCCTCCCTCGCCCGCAGCGTCTCCTCTGCTACCGCGCGCTCGGCGGCCAGCTTCGCCTCCGCCTCCGCCGCAATCGCTCGCCTCCGTTCCTCCAGCGCCGCAGCGTCCGCCGCCCGGCGCGCCTCGTCCGCCACTCAATCTGCCTCACGCTGTCCTGACGTCTGCTAGCGCTCTCTCGCCGCCGCCGCCGCCTCCCGATCGCGATGTTCGAGACCCCCCTTGAGCTCACGAGCCTTCTCAGTCGCCTTCACAGACGCCACCGCCTCCCACTAAGCTGCGCCCAGATCTTAGTGATGCACGCACGCACCCGGGGAGGACTGTATCGGCTAGACACTGGCATGCAATCTGCA